ATCTCTTTGGATTTGAGACTTCAGTCTTTGCAACTTTACAGATCTTCTTTATGCACCAAGAGCTTATAACACTCCAAAGAGAAAGGAAAAATTGAAATCGCATCATGTGACCCCTTTAACAGCTGACAAAAATGATTGCTCTGCAGGAAGTTTGTCAGACTTACTTTCAGGCAGAACCAGATCTATGCTTCTTCTTGGTCTTGGTCTGACTTGTTGGATCCCCACCCACTGTCACTCTCCTTTTCTGCTTCTTCCACAGGTGTCAGGAGATGCACTATACTTGTTAGATGTTCTTGTAAGGTTTGCATCTTTGTTTTTACTTGTATATCTCTTCTGCTTGTTTCTTCACTATTCTTCTCTTTTCCTCCATATCCTCAGAAAGTTTGCTGTCAATGTCCTTCATGCCCTGCTACCAATCTCTCTATCACATGAAATAATTTTTTGTACATTTATCCCCTTGCTGACAGTATAATTGAAAACATGAACTCTGTTCCCACACTTCTTTATTACAGTATCAAGCTCTGTCCCTGCTCTCTTAATCAGCTGCTTGCAATCTGCATGTCTCTGTGTTTTGTCGTTATACATGAGCAGAACGATGGTGTGGTTCCAGATCTGCTCACCAAGAATCTCCATGTGTTCCAGAACACTGTTTAGGTGCATGTTTGTGAATGGTTTGTGTAGATCGATGACTAGAAGGAAAGCATGTGGAGCAGGACACAGTTTTAAACTGTGCACAATCTCCATCTTTAAATACTTTGCACTCTCCGCCAGTGTGAAGCTCCTCCACCATCCTGGTGTCATTACCAAAGTAATAGACCTGTTCTGAACTGTCCTCTGTTTCATCTCACTCTGGACTATCTCTTTTCTCACTTTACAGTCATTCTGACCAAAAATGGTTTTAGCTGCACTACGTTTGTACTCTGCTTTACTGCCTATTATTATAGCTTTTATCTCATAAAGAGCTGGAAAATCTGCAAGAGAAATTCAAGGAACCTGTAATTATCATGTGTAGTTAGCGAACCTTAACAAATTAAATATCATATTTCAGATGTATAGTCAATTGAGCAGATTGCATACTTTGCATGTGTATGTGGTTCGTGCTTATGGTTCACAGTATTACAGCAAATGCATTTTAAAAGCCTTTGCAAATCCATAACAATGGCCACATTTAATAATGTAGTTTTGTTGTCTTGAGTTTGCTTTTATAGGTGGCAATTCAGGTGAGATTCCTAAATACTTTTGATAAGGTTACAAAGTTTTCCAGCTTAGTTTTGTAAAAATGAAAATTGTATAAAAAACATTTCTCGTAACGTCCATGATCTAAGGGCACTGTAAAGTTGTTGCTTTTAAACTTGATGAATCTTGTCTTTACCTTTACTGTGACTACACTGAGCTCTCTCACATTTGTATGAAGTAAAAAAGTTTTGGCTTTAGTTGTGTTTATTGGAAATCAATCTTTGAGCATAAATAAATCTATGATGAGCCAGGTGATGTATATACTTGTTTTCAGCCTTTGAACAACAATGCATACATAGTGATGTTATAATTTGTTTTTTAAAGATATCAGATACTTTCCACTGTCTAAAAATATATATGGTTTAAGTCAAATGTTTAAACATTTATGTACAATATTACAACAACTCACTTTCATGGCGATCAGATTTCTCTCCTGCCTCCATTATGCGTCACAGACTATCAGTGTGAAGTTCTTGAAATTTGCTTCAATATCTTCTTTCTCTCTTTCCTGTTTTCCTCACGCTTAATCTCCTTTTTTCTCAGTTCTCATTATTTCTCGTTTTCCCCCCTTTTATACAAATAATGAATCTAAAAACATTTTGTGTGTGTAATAAATGTGCCTCTGCACTTGATGAACTGGTTTATCAGCTTCCTGATGAGAAATACTCAGAGCTCCACCCCTATGATTGCTTTGCAAGGGTTTTAGACAAGGATATTTGAGTCACAAGCATTTTTTCACCTTCACCTTGCTAATTTAACTCTGTATTGAAATGAAAAGAACACTTAAAAACTTGAAGTAACAAAATAACCATAGATATCAGTTTTCAAAGGCTTTACTGAGTGTATTTGTATTCTTAGGAACCTAAAACTAAAACGATGTTCATAAATAATGTTATGTAACCAGCATAATATAAATATTTCCCTGCAAGCAACATTCAAGGGGTCAAGCACACATTGTAAGGCTGAGTGGATTTGTTTGGTCAGAGCAAACAAGTGAATCCAGGAGGAGTACGTTTACCATTGTTTACACCATAACAGCTTTTCATTAGTAGGAGTGGTCACTAAATTCACATGGCAATCTGGCAATGAAACGTAAAAAGAGAAAATAAAATATTATATAGAATATAAAAATAATTCTGTGGTTTAAGTTATAGGTTATGGATCATAATGTCAATTTCAATAGCTCTATTTATGTAGCGTACTGTATATTTTTAACAAACAGGTTTGGTGTTAGAATAACTGAAAGAAATGGATGAAGAAACAACAGTGATGACACACATGATGCAAGTATATAAGTTTGTAGATTTTGTAGAATAAGGTCAAACAACAATATTTATTTTAAAAAGGAACAGATAATATCAATCTCCAGCACTCCAGTATTGGAACAAATACATAGAATCTGACATAAACTCAGTATATTATCAATCACAATATAAATTTATGGCAACAGATACTTGAATGTGGAATACATTGATGAAGTAAAAAAAAAAAAAAAAAAAAAAAGGAAAAAAAAAAACAGGTCCACAGATCACTTTTTAGCAAATAGTTGACACACAACCCTCGATTGCTCTGGGGGGTGTGATTGTTAACATTACAAACAATATGAGTAGATCTGACATGAGGTTAAGCTGATGGTATAAATAGTAAAGCTGATTACAAAAGTCAAGCTCATATTTACAATTTAAAAGAAATCTTGCAAGTGAACGAGTTACCATCCTGCTGTCATTACTTTGTTGTACGAAATATTTAAAAGTATTGCATGAAATGCTATTGCTTTCCTTATTTTTCTCTTTCTGTTTTTTGTATTTACCTCTGCAAACCATCTGTGATCTTGATTTTGTGTGACATTCTCTGAAATGTCCTCTGATAAGGTCCTGAAGTTAATTGCAGTTTGTTTTCAAGTAATTTCTTAACTTGGTTTTCAGGCACTATGTGAAGAAATATGATAATTAATAAAACTTTTTATAAACATGTTTTATACTTTAAAACTAAATTGCAATTAATTGCAATTAAATTATTATTTAGTTGTATGTGTCTAGAGGATACGCTGTAATTGTTTTCTTTATTTTTCAATTTCTGTTTTCTGTATGTACCTCTGTGATCTTGATTTAGTATGACATCTTCTGAAATGTCTTTTTAAAAGTCTGATAAGGTCCTGAAGTCAGACACAATTTCTGTGTTTTCAAGCCATTTTGTAATGTATTCTTCATGCACTATTGGAAGAAATGTAACAATTATTAAAACTTTGCATAAACATGTTTTACTGACTGACAGTAACCAAATCATTTTTAAAGAAGTTTTTTTTTCAGGCTACTTACTGTGAGGTGGTTCCAGATTAAAGCTTCCTCTCTCTAACTTGTCTTGCTCTGACCAGTTAGATCCACAACCACTGTCACTCTTCTTATCTGCTTTTTCCACAAGTTTGAGATACTCAGATTCCCAATCAATCTCACACTCCTCCATCACTGCTTCCGCTGGGGTCAGGAGCTCTGTGTTTCCTCTGGCCATCATCTCCACTTTCTCCATCAACTCGCTGACCTGTTTCCTATCACACCGCTGATTGTTTTTTAGTACATGATATCTGTTTCCACATTTATTGATCAGCCACTGCAGAGCTTCTCCTTCACTCTCAATGTGCTCTTCAATAGTGGGAGTCCCCATCCAGTCTCCCCTGGTGAACACCACTATACAGTACTTCCAGACATTTCGACTCAGGAGCTCCATGTGCTCCTTGACAGACCTCCTATGTGCTTCAGTGAAGGCAACACCAGACTGCAGAACTAGCAAAACTGCATGAGGTCCTGGTGAACACATAGCAACACTTGACATGATCTCCTGCTTGACTGACTCTGAAGTCTCCTTTACAGACGCGTACGGCCACCATCCAGGTGTGTCAATTAAAATGACTTTTCTCTTGTCGACCTCTCCCTCTCTCTTCAAAGATTTTTTAGTCTTGCTGACCTCTTGTTCGATTTTCAGGAGGGTGTTCATCACTGAGGTCGTCCCAGCCATATTGGCACCCATCAAGATAATCCTTAATTTTGGAAAATCACAACTTTTCTCTGCTAGGAAAAAAGAGAGAGTTCATAAACAGCATAACATTGCCTACAGTACATAATAGAGTGATGCAGGTATGACATCAGAGCGCGGAGGACTAGTTCGCAGCTGATTCCTTTAAGATTTTCCTATGTGGGGTTTTGTAATGGTGTTTTTTCAATTTATGAGTAAAATAAAGCCTGTGGTAAACATAACTTAAAAATACGTTGACGTTTCACACACCCATACTGAAAACATAAATTTTGAAACAGTTATATTTACCTTTGAAAATGTATGTTTCTAATAAGTAACTAGATAAGACCGTTTAGGATATCACTGTCAACAAAATGTCAAAATATCATCAAGTTATGTTTACCACAGACTTTATTTTACTCATAAATTAAAAACCCCCATCACAAAACCTTGAAGGAACCTGCAGCAAATAAGTCTTCAGGGTTCTGATGTCATACCTGCACCACATTACTCCATGTGTTCTATTAATAGTAAATTGCTGTTGAGCATTTTTTATGCGCTATACCTGTTAGACATTCTTTCAAGGTTGTCATCATTGTTTTTACTTGAATCTCTCTCTCCTCTGCTTGTTTTTTCACATTTATTCTCTTTTCCTCCATATCTTCAAACAGTTTGCTGTCAATTTTAAAGCACTGTTCTTCATGACCTGCTACCAGTCTCTCTATCTCATGAAACAGTTTTTCCACATTTTTACCCCTTCTGACAGTATAATTGAAAACATGAACTCTGTTCCCACACTTCTTTATTACAGTATCAAGCTCTGTCCCTGCTCTCTTAATCAGCTGCTTGCAATCTGCATGTCTCTGTGTTTTGTCGTTATACATTAGCAGAACGATGGTGTGGTTCCAGATCTGCTCACCAAGAATCTCCATGTGTTCCAGAACACTGTTTAGGTGCATGTTTGTGAATGGTTTGTGTAGATTGATGACTAGAAGGAAGGCATGTGGAGCAGGACACAGTTTTAAACTGTGCACAATCTCCATCTTTAAATACTTTGCACTCTCCGCCAGTGTGAAGCTCCTCCACCATCCTGGTGTCATTACCAAAGTAACAGACCTGTTCTGATTTGTCTTCTGTTTCCTCTCACTCTGGACTATCTCTTTGCCCACTTTACAGTCATTATGACCAAGGATGGTATTAGCTGCATTGCATTTATGTTCTGCTTTACTTCCAACCATAATGATGTTTATTTCTGAAGGAGCTGGACAATCTGCCAGAAAAAAAATAAAGGAATCTGTATACCACTTGCAGTCAACAGCAAACATTTATTAGGGTTACTCATCATATTTCAAATGTTTAGTCAAATTTTTAGATGCAGTTTGTAGTATTAAAACAATTTGATTTGAAAGCCTCTGTAAAGACAACACTGGCCATATTTAATGCTGTAGTTTGCCTTGCATTGATGTTTAGAGATTGCTATCAGGTGGCAGGTCAGATGACATTCCTACATGCTTTTGATGAGTTTACAAGGTTTTCCAGCATACCAGTATGAAACTCTTACATAGAAACTCATTTATCTTAACCTTTAATATCTAAGGATGTTGTGAAGTAGTTACTTTACAACTTTAAACCTTCTAGTTATTTTCATTGTAGCCAAAATGAGATGTGTGTCATCTGTGTGAAGTAAGAGTTTTTGGGAAATCTAGTGTTCAAACATTTATGAGATATAATGTTTTGAAGCCTTTGTGTCAAATCATCCACTATCTAAAAGTATATCATTCAGGTTTTGTCAAACTTTTACGTATAACATGAGGAAAACTCACTGTCATGACAATCAGAGTCCTCTGCTGCCTCCATCATGCGTCACAGAATTGTCAGTTTGAAGGTCTTGAAGTTTGCTTCAATGTCTCCTTTCTTTGCTTTTTGATTACTCTCAGTATCTTGTTTTCCTCAATTTGCTCAGTTTTCAGTGTTTCTCAGTTTAAAAAAAAAAAATTCTAGATGAATCTTTAAGTATATTCTGTCTGTTCTTGTTCATGTACTAAATGTGTCTGTACTGATTAACTTGATGAGCTGGTTTATCAGCATCCCGGAAACAAGTAGTCATAGCTCCACCTCCATGATAGTTTTGCAACTGTTTTATACAAGGATGTTAGCATCACAAGTGAATTTTCACCTTTATTTTTTTTTCTTAATGTGTCTAAATTGAACTGCCGGTTTAGAAATGGGAAGAGTACTTCAAAACTGCATCTTTTTACAACATATTTTTAACTGAAAATTGAGTGTTTACTATTTTCCTTTTGCATTGACACACTATTTTCCTATTTGATACTGTAAAGCTGCTTTGACACAATCTGTATTGTTAAAAGCGCTATATAAATAAAGGTGACTTGACTTGACTTGACTCTTTGGTCAAAAAGTGTTGCAATAGATCAAAAGTGAGCTGAAACGACAATCATTCCATACTGTGATAATTAAACAAATATTTATCCTTATTACAAGTTGTGTCTAAATGAAAACTTCTTGGAAATTGGAATTAAGTACCTGAATTTATAAAAACTCTATACTGTATATGTACAAATAAAAAGAAATTTGTTGCTTATATGTGTCGTATATTTCTCAAGTAATTTATTTTAAATTATTTTAATTTTAATGTTTTAAGAAATTTTAATCATTTAACATAAAAGTATGTTTACCACGTTTGTAGAGCTGTTACTCTTTCAACCTTTGTGCAATGACCCAACTTGGTTATTTATGTTTTCATTATATTATGCCAATTATGTAAGACTGTCGACAGAAAATAAATAAATAACATCATATTTAACTCTATTTGGTATGTGGTTAACATTTAAACATTTTTAACGTTTAAGAAAGATACAGAGCCCTCTTCTGCCTCCATTATGTGTTGCAGACTGTCAGTTTAAATAAACACAAGTAAACACCATTACTGAGGCAAAAAAGACAAGGGATAGAGTTACAAACTTTGTCACCATTGGAACTGAAAGTTAAATGGTGCTTTAGTGAAAAAAAGACACCAAATAATTTATTTAGCCTGTTCTCTCAATTGAACTTTGTTAGGAACTTTCACTTTTACTTTATTTCATAAACAAGGAATGCATGCTGGCTTTTTCATTGAGTTTTGTTAAAGGGAAACAGTAAACCAACATGTATTTGTCATACATAAAAGCATTACACAATGTCATTGCTGTATTAGAAAACATTTTAAACAAAAGTAAAGAACTAAAGAGTCATTTCATGTTTGTTCTTGTGCATGTAATACATCTGTCTTCTTCATCTTACTGTTCTCGTTCATCAGCCTCATGAATATTTCTTTTAAAATAGTGATGACAGTTGCAGAAAATATCCAGCCTGGTTATATATCTGAGTATTCGGTTCGACGCAAAATATATTCACAGAAAAACACACTCAAGGTATGTTTTTATTCATTACAGGTATTTTAATGAATTACACCAAAAAAAAGATACATTAATGGAATGGGAGGAGAACAGACAAGAATTAATATTAGAACATTTAGCAAGCTATGTTTTTAATTCACAAATACATAGCACAAAACCTATACTTTACAATGTGAACCATGATGAATGAAGAAACAACAGTGATGACAGGTGTTATGAAAATAAGTAAGTTTGTAGATTTTGCAGAATATACTCAAACACATTTTTTTCTGGCTTTGTTTGAATAATAATTTAATTGAATAAGAAAGAACAAATCTCCAGCACTCCACTGGAGCAAATATGTACACATTCACATACACACTATGTGTATTATCACAATATAAATTTGTGTGACTTTGTGATTATTACAGAAACAATATGAACAGAACTGTCATGAGGTGGAGCTGATTACAAAAGTAAAGACCATTTACAATTTAAAACAAAACTTAGTTTTGCAAGTAAATCGTTTTATTTTGTTGTTCATGACTGCATGAAAATGTAATGTATATACTGCCTAATTGTTTTCTTTATTTTTCAATTTCTGTTTTCTGTATTTACCTCTGAAAACATCAGATCTTGATCTTGATTTAGTGTGACATCTGAAAAATCTGATAAGGTCCTGTAGTCAGACACAATTTCTGTGCTTTCAAGCCATTTTGCAGCGTATTCTTCACACACTACTGGAAGAAATTTAACAATTAATAAAACTTTGTATAAACATGTTTTACTGACTGACAGTAACCAAATGATTGCGTTGAAGTGTGTTTGTCAGGCTACTTACTTTCAGGGGGATCCAGATTAAAGCTTCCTCTCTCTAACTTGTCTTGCTCTGACCAGTTAGATCCCCAGCCACTGTCAGTCTCCTCCATTCCTGCTTCCGCTGGTGTCAGGAGCTCTGTGTTTCCTCTGGCCATCATCTCCACTTTCTCCATCAACTCTCTGATCTGTTCCCTATCATTCTGCTCCATGTAGTTCAGTACATGATATCTGTTTCCACATTTATTGATCAGCCGCTGCAGAGCTTCTCCTTCACTCTCATTGTGCTCTTCAATAGTGGGAGTCCCCATCCAGTCTCCCCTGGTGAACACCACTATACAGTACTTCCAGACATTTCGACCCAGGAGCTCCAAGTGCTCCTTGACAGACCTCCTATGTGCTTCAGTGAAGGCGACACCAGACTGCAGAACCAGCAAAACTGCATGAGGTCCTCGTGAACACATAGCAACACTTGACATGATCTCCTGCTTGATTGACTCTGAAGTCTCCTTTACAGATGCGTACGGCCACCATCCAGGTGTGTCAATTAAAATGACTTTTCTCTTGTCAACCTCTCCTTCGCTCATCACACACTTTCTTGTCAGGTTCTTTGTTTGTTTCTTTTTTAAGATGGTGATCACCACTGACGTCTTTCCAACAATATTGCCACCTATCAAGACAATCCTTAACTCTGGGGAAAATGTGTCTGCCAGAAAGAACATGAAAGTTCATGAGGAGTGCTTAATATTCAGTTGGAATCATATAACCTATATAACTCCATCTTTCTATTAATTATGCAAAATTGCTGACCGTTGTTTTAAAAGATGCACTATACCTGTTAGACGTTCGTTCAAGGTTTGCATCTTTGTTTTTACTTGAATCTCTCTCCTCTGCTTGTTTCTTCACAGTCCTTCTTTTCCTCCATGTCTTCAAAAAATTTGCTGTCAAGTTTAAAGTACTGTCCTTCATGCCCTGCTACCGATCTCTCTATCTCATGAAACAGTTTTTGTACATTTATTCCCTTGCTGTCAGTATAATTGAAAACATGAACTCTGTTTCCACATTTTTGTATTAGAATATCAAGCTCTTTCCCTGCTCTCTCAATTAGCTGCTTGTATTTCTCTGCTCTTTGTTGTCATACATGAGCAGAACGATGGTGTGGTTCCAGATCTGCTCACCAAAAATCTCCGTGTTCCAGAACACTGTTTAGGTGCATGTTTGTGAATGGTTTGTGTAGATTGATGACTAGAAGGAAGGCATGTGGAGCAGGACACAGTTTTAAACTGTGCACAATCTCCATCTTTAAATACTTTGCACTCTCCGCCAGTGTGAAGCTCCTCCACCATCCTGGTGTCATTACCAAAGTAATAGACCTGTTCTGAACTGTCCTCTGTTTCATCTCACTCTGGACTATCTCTTCACCCACTTTACAGTCTTCCTCGCCAAGAATCAGGCACGTGCAGAGGGGTTTGCGATGGGTGCTTGAGCACCTGCCCCTTTCCCCTTGATGCCCAAAGTGCCATTTTGTCAAGGAAATTTATTTTTATTTTTTTTGTAATTAAACGCCATTTTGTGAAGGCCTGCCCAATCTAACTATTAGTAAAATGAATGAATAATAATTTAGTCGTAAATAAAATTATCCACATGATGATTACCTTTCACCTGACGATCTCATCATGGACTATCCCTCACTTCAGACACCTTTAATGTAGCGCACTTCCAGGATGCCTTCATAACGTCCGCGGCTGCCGGTATGTGCAGTTCTCAGCGGAGCGGTGTGCTTGTATACTTATATTATTAAATTATTATTATTATACAAGAACTGCGTGAAGAGAGCATGCACAGCTGTTGTTTATATTGCTGTTTGTAGCCTGTGGAAGTAAGGTTAGCTGCAGCAAGGGGCTATAATATTTTTGTTCAATATTTTCCTAATGACAATTTTATGATCGGTTTATAAAGGCTACCACGAGCACATTTTCCCCATTTTTATCACAGAATAAGGCAGGAAATATAATTTAGTAGCCTATAGAAACTATAAAATATATGTCAGTCAGTACTGCATTATTCATATAGTTTATTTATTACCTAGAGATAACTTGAAAAACACACATAAACCTTATATTTTAGCAATCGTGTATTTATTGTCTTCACGATTTTTTTCAGCTTTTTATTCAGCTCAGCTACTATGCTTTTGTCCATATTAGGGATTTCCTGCACGTCATAAGTCATTACTTCTATGAGTCTGTTTTGGATTTTCTGCACGAGAGCGCCCTCCGGCTTCGAGTATGAATTAAACATACACTGCATGAGAGTGTTGAGCGCTCCAGATATTCACTTCTCC